TTCAAATAGAAGCTTCTAGAGGAATAACAAGGAGGGGTGAGGGAAGAAAGCAGACATCTGTTTATCCTGCCAGATCACAGCCTGGGGTCCAGTGAGCGGTGAGATATCAAACTCAGATGATGCTCACAATCAACCCACAATCAATCCACTTGCAGGAAAGTCGTGTTCAGGGTAATAATTTACATGGCTGCCGTATCCTCAATCACAAGACACAGTCAGTCGGGTAACTGTGCTTTTCTGTAAGGCAGAAAAGTGATTGGATATATTGTCCAAATTTGCAAAAACAAGATTGGAAACAAAATGGGATTTAATTCTAAACAGCCAGAAATTCAGTTAATCAGAACCTCCCATTCCTCTTAGCTGACACTTCATTTCCTAGCTGAACAACCCAAGACAACAGCGCAAACACCTGTGCTCCTCGAAACTTCACAAAGCATTTGACTTTAGTTAATATAAATTGGAACAACATTTTTTTCCCTTAAAAACAATACCATCCCATCTGGGAAACACCAGCTTCTTATAATTTCAGGTGTGCTAAACATTTATAAATCATACATATCATACAAATAAATGCATTTATTTATGTGGTATGCTTGTATAACACACAGGAGTTCCAAGATTGTTCACATCTATCATTTCTACAAGTTGTGCAAGCTTCAGAGTCAAATGATGTGAATTCAAATTCCAGCTTGGCCATTTACTAGCTGTGTGACCTCGGGCAAGTTATTCAACCTCTCTATGTTTCGTTTCTATAGAATGCAGCTGATAAGAGAACCTACCTCATAAGGTTATTATGAGAATTAGTTAAGATATAGCACATAAAAATATAGTGAGCGTGTTGCCAGGCACACGGTAAGCAGTCATTAACTGTTAGCTATTAATTACTTTCATTACTCCGCAGAAGGAGAAACTGAGTCACAGAGCAGCTAAAGAGATCTATTTGAGGTTTATTGCAATAAGGAATGACACAATTGGGACTCGAACCTGGGCCTTCTGAATTTAGTCAAATTTCCTTCCCTGTGCCGCCCTCAGTGCTTATTACAAGGGTGGCCGAGAAGCAGCCGCACCAGCATCACCAGGGACCTTGCTAAAAATGCAGAGTCTGCATTTCATCAACACCCCCAGGTGTAAACACATTAAACTGGAGAGGTCTTGGTCTCAGGCGCTCTGCAGGACGCTGGCAAACGTGACACAGCCCGGAGGGCTTCTGAGAGTGAATGAGCGGCACCGACACACAGAGGGATGCAGACACCCGCCTCTGCACTAGGCTGAAATATCCAAAGGTCAGCGGTTTTTGCAGGAAGCCCCGAGTCACTCTCTGGAGGGCTACCGCTTCTCATATTCCAGTGCATATTCACAACACACAGAGGTCAGGTCCAGATATAAAACCTGACATTTCAGTTCTCCGCCCAAGAGCAGCCGATGGTACAAATCACATGCCTCCACCGACAAGGGTGAATTCCTTCTGAAACTTCATACTCATCCAGGTCAGGGCCGGAAGAGAACTTACAGACCATCTAATTCAGGACCTACATTTTAGGGAGGAAACAACTGAGGCTCAGAAAGGGGAAGCACGTACTTTCTAGTTAGCACCTGATGTGCATGCAAGTGGCAATCAAAAGCCAAGAAGCCTGGCCCCCTCTCTAGACCCCACTAGCCTTGCAGCAGAATCACCCAGTTCCCTCTAGTCCAGCAAAAGGGCTGCTTCCATTCGCCCGGAGCTTTTACTGCTCATCAGAGTGTCTCTTAACTGACTTTCCAACAAACCTCACACTTCCATTCTAAAAGCCACATTCAAAGCTGGAGGTGAACAAGCTACTCGGTTCTGTTTTGTACCTGATACAGTCTCTTGGCTGTTCCCAAGTTTACCAAAAGATACAGCAAAAGGATTTTAAATCAGTGGCTACATAATGAGGTATTTCTCCCATGAGGGTTCCATAGAGAAGATCTAGAAGGCAAAGAAAAAACATTCATAACACATTACAGTAAAAAGTGTAAGGAGGCCTAGAATGGTGGATATCATTCAGGCTTTGGAGAATGATTATCCTGGGTTTGAATTCCAGCTTTACTCTTTCTTATCTGTGTAACGTCGGACAAGTTACTTAACTTCTAGGAGCCCTGGTTTCTCCATTACTAAATAGAGTTAATAATATATATAGCTGTGTAACTGCTGTAAGAACTAACAAGGCAAGGTATGTCAAGCACCCTTCACATCAACTAGAACATGGTAAGTGTTCAACCTATGACACTTATTACCTGTTCTACATATTCACACAAGCACTAACACAAAAACTATTTCAGACACATAGATACCCAGAACATACACTGACATATATATACACTAACAGCTATCCTGAAAAATATCTGACCCTGTGACCACAGAAAGTATAGCTGTTTCTCAGTTGAGTCCTGGAACTTTCATGAACAAGCATCTCTGAGGATTCACACTGATGAATGGATGGCAAGAAAAGAGCCAGAAAAATGGCATCCTGCCCAGTTGAAATGAAATGCTAAGAATTCTGGTCCCAGTCACTTTTAACCCTGGATGGAGCTGGATCCTACGTGTAAGGTTGGACTTTTAAAAACCAAGGAGGGATGGGGGAGCTGAGGCCAATGGTACTCCCAATGTGAGGCAAACGGAGGTAACTCAAGTCACCGTCTATTGTGAGACAGACACAGCACTGGCCTGTAAAAGGTACCAACCTGGACTCCATCTCTATCCCACATACCGGGGGGAAAATAGTGCCTGCAATCCCTCCAGCGCCCCAGGATGGTTTATGCACAACTGCCAGGACCAGGAAGAAGGGGGTATCAGAAATCACCACTATTCCTTCTTCCTAAAGGATCACCCTACTGTCCTGAGTGTGCAAGACTCTGGTCACACTTTCTCAAACGAGGCCAGCCCTTGGTGCCTCCACTTCCAACCAGTGATGCCTCTGGATTCTGTGCTCTCGACAGTGTTGTGTCTCCTCCAAGTCAGCTCTCATAAAATCTGAGTCTCTAGTTCGGCCGACCTGATCCTTATGGACTTTACAGCCAAATGCGTGCCAGAAGTGTAGCCTACACACCCACCAAGGAAACCCAGGCTCCATACTGTACTTGAAGATGTGCTCTTTTGAATAAATGCATTTTTAAAAATAGGCCATGGTGCTGTGGTGGAAAATTCTTGCTGTGTTTAGCCCCATGTAGGGTTTCAGAATTTAAAATGGCTGCACTATGGGTTCTGTAGGACAGATGGGTAGAGGCAGTTCTAGCTGAAGTACAACCGCGGTGCTTGTCTTCTGAGTTCCGACTTCACCCAAAGGGAACTTCAGCTTTGCACTTTCATGGTGGTTTTGGAGATTGCTCTGATATTCTCCCAGCTGCTTCCCTCCCCTCCTCTCCTCCTAACTCCTCCACCCAATCTCTCCGCTTCTCTCTTTCCACACCTCCCCCCCTCCACCGCCTCTCCCCCACATGCTCGCTTCTTTCTCCCTCTGCCTTGTCCCCAGGGAAATAATGGAAGAAGCAGGCCTCTGGATTTCAGATTCCGAACAAAGAACTGCTCAAACAACATGCCAAAAAAAAAAAAAAAAAAAAAGAAAGCCAAGTCTCCAAAATCACTGCCCAGGTCCCCAGTGGAGATTGCGGAGACTCATGATGCTGGAAGCTCGGTGTGAACTTATCCAACATTTTCTCCCCTGCTTCATTCAAACACACCCCCTCTACCCATGCACATGGACAAGATATCAAAATGAGAACATTTCATTAAAAATCTTTTCAGGTTGGGACACGAGCAAAGTGCCAAGTGTCAGCCCAGAGCATTAATGAGGAAAACAGATTTTGCCAAGGCCTAGCCCTCAAGCTTCCTAGTCTGCAGTAGTTCATGGTCACCAGCAATGACCTGATTATAAGCACGACAATCAGGGAGGGAGTGGATAGAGAAAAGTTTTTAGTAGATCTTCAAGCACAAAAGAAAAGTCCTCACCTAAACGCCACCCAGAATTCCTGTCTGATGGAGAGAGGATTTTGATTCTTGGGTGTTTGAAAACAACAGAGAAGAGAGAAGACCATGCCTTTGGCTTCTGAGGTTTCTGCTAATTCAAGGCGAGCAATACAGAAGGGAGGTTAAGAGCCCTGCTCAAACTTGGAGCGTTTGCAATCCATGTGTGGTAGGAGCAGCGCTACACTGGGTACCAGGATTTGTCACCAGCTGTGTCATTCAGGGTAAGTTACGTTCTCTCTTTCGCCTTCAGTTTCCTCTGTTGAATGAATATGAAAACTACTGCCCCCTGTAGTTCACAGGTTGGGATCCAATGGGAAATACCAAAATCAGCAGAAGGAAGGAAAGTCCAACACCTAGTACGAGCCAGGAACTGGGCAAGGGCGGTGCAGCCACCATTCCCCAGCAAGCCCATGAGTCCCACGAGTCCAGGGAAATTTATTTCTAATACATTTAAAATTAAAAAAAAAATTTTAGGCTGTGCCATGTGGCACGTGGGATCTTAGTTCCCCAACCAGGGATTGAACCCGTGTCCCCTGCATTGGGAGTGCAGAGTCTTAACCACTGGACCGCCAGGGAAGTCCCTATTTCTAATATTTATATGGGGAAACCAAAGTTCAGAGAGCTTAGGCTCTAAGGTCACGTATACGATCAGGCAGCAATGCAGGTGGGCTATTATCAAGGGATAACTATGATTCTCCATGCAAAACACTACTTTACTAAAGACCATGGCAATCTGGAGTGATCAACCCGCAATTCTGAGTTTCTGGAGAAAGAACTTCACGCCAGACTCCTGTGGTTCCTTCAACTCACTTTTTTTTTTTTTTTTGCGTTATGCAGGCCTCTCACTGTTGTGGCCTCTCCCGTTGCGGAGCACAGGCTCCGGACGCGCAGGCTCAGCGGCCACGGCTCACGGGCCCCACGTGGGATCCTCCCAGACCGGGGCACGAACCCGCATCCCCTGCATCGGCAGGCGGACTCCCAACCACTGCGCCACCAGGGAAGCCCCTTAACTCACTTTTAATTTGTCCTTCAGACCTCTGCACTGGAGTTCCAGTTCATCTAAATTTAAAAGAAAGACGTTGAAAGGAAAGGGAGAAACAGCTGTCAAACAGCACGACTGAAGTATGCTCACTGGCAAGAGAGGAAGGGCGAAAGCCTAGCAAGGATGGATCCTGTCTGTGGACAGAAATCAAGGGCAGCGGGCTGGGTCACAGGCAGGCGAGCAAGGGAGGCCCATTCTTTTCCCTTAACAGCTGATCCATAAGCTAAAGTCACCCATACGATGGCATAAATGAAGCCTGGGAACTTCCGAGGAGCCATCCAGCAGGTGAAGCCATATTTAAAGGCCTCCGTGAAGGAGAAAATGCTTAGTGTCTGCATTGAACAGAAAGTAGAAAGAAAAGGCAGGCCTCTCACACATGCAGCGTTGCATCAGAGGAGAAACGTGTACAGAAATCTAGAAATGCGTTGATTCCAATGTGGAGCCCGCAGCGTTCTACAGGAGACTTGTCAGCTGCCAAACAGGAGACCTTCTTTAAGGGTGCCTGAGCCCCAGCTAATGCTAGATGATTTTCATTCTACCACCCCGAGACTTTTAGTTTAGCAAAATACAGTAGCCCGGACAACACACTTTATTCTGTCAACTCAGTCCATAGAGTTGAAATAGTGGAAAGTTCCTTTGAGTGGGAATGGTTTGGGACCTTACAGTGACTGAAGATGGCACCTTTGCTGCCGGCTAAACCTCTCTGCACACAAACGGATGTGAGCATATTGCGTTTTCAGTAGACTGTCTTATTTTTTAGCAACGACGCTTAGAATAAAGATGATAAAAAGGTAACAATCACAACCACCACCACAGTAATAGCTAACCTTTATGGAATATTTATTATGTGGCTAGCACTGTGCTAGGTGCTTTTTGTATGTCATCTCACTGAATCCTTACACCCTGCCTATTGGTTCTACTGCTCTTCTCACGATATACACAGGAAACAATACCCAGAAAGGTAGCTCGAAGTATTTTCAGCTCTTTCTGAATCCAGAGTCTGAGCCCTTGATGATAAACATCATCCCCTACTGCCTAACCTCTAAATTCCCTGTTCATTCCTTAAGCTTCCATGAATGCACCTTCCTTCCAATTTTTTTTTTCCCCGACATTGCATGGTGAACCTTTACAAACCTGCCATTTCAAACAATGCTGTTTTACAATTTCTGGCAGTCCCACGATTGTTTACAGACTGTAATGCCTGATGGAGCCAACATGTTTTAATTTTCACATTAAAAAAAGAATTTCCAAGGGGAAAGAGCATTTGATGGAAAGGCAAAACCTTTACAAGCACTCAGGGAGGCATTAAAATCCAAATTTCCAAAATACAGTAATTCCGTTAAAGTTGTGACTTACTCTGGAGCCCAAGGGGACACTCATCCTGACCACTCTGTGAAAGCCATCAGCAGCCAGTCAGCCTTCTAAGGGAAGCAGGATTAGAGCAGCCAATTCAGCCTCCACCAAGGGCACCAGGCTGCTTCATTTACTTTAAGTCTCACTGAGATGGCTTAAAACACTCCCTGGGAAGAGATATTCGAGCAAAGCAAACTGCAGCCTTGCAAGCTGCAGCTCTGGTACCTGACAGTCCCTGTCTACAGCGTCACAGCACACTGGAGCCCTGCCCTGACTGTGGCCATGGATGCGATGACTAGAAGCAGAACTCTCTCGCTGGGGAAATCACATACATGCCGAAGTTATACAAGAGCCACGCCTGGACCAGCGGACAGCATCACAGCTGGTACAGATCACTTAGCCCAGGGTGATTTGGCCAAGCTCAGATTATTTATGGTTCATAAAACTCCCGCGAGACCCCAGCATATTCTAAGACCACATAACAAAAAATAATGGGATTAAAAATCTGTATTTCATCGCAAGACCTCCATGGCAGATTAGTAATGCCGTGATTGGCTTTGGGGAAACCAAGAGCAAGGAGAGCTAACTGTGAACACTCTTCCAAGAAACCCAATGTAGAGAATGCACTGAGTCATGTGTTTCAGCCAGGCTGTGCAGTCATATTCTGGAGCTCTGTCACCATTTCTAATCCGAAAGCACCGGCTAAAATTCAACCTAAATAATTCCAGCGCCATTTCTTCACCTGGAAGTCTCAGCTAAGTCTTCATTTCCCAGAGCCTCTAATGGTTTCTGACATCCTGAGGCAAAATGCAAGAACACAGCCAGGTGTGTGGTTTGTTTTTAAGCCCTCTTAAACCAATAAAAAAAATGATTATTTTTTAAGGATAGCTACACTTCTTTTAGAGAAAAGCTACTTCTAAAGCACCAAGACGTAAGTGTTTCTTCAGGACTTCCTAGAGCTGTGAAATGTCACTGTGCAACTGAGCTTTCGAATAAGCATAAGAAGGGAAGAGGTGCCAGAGGGCCATGGAAAACAGCCACCTGGCAAGATAACGGAGCCCCCATGTCCTGCCTCCCCCCATGCAAAGCTTCTAGATCTAGCTTTCTCATCCTTCCTAGAAAATGCACTGTTGTTCAATTTGTGAATTAGGATAAATTTCTTACCTACCTCAAGGGAGGGTGAAATTCCCAGTCTGGATGGAAGCTTCCGCCAGACCCTCTGAGCTTGTCAATTGCCCCAGTTCACTTTTCCCCTGGCTCTGGCTTCTAAGAATGCAAGCAGGACTGCAGGCAGCCAAAGCATCTTTTTCTGGAAACCCTTCTCCAAATCTGGACCCTTCCTGACGCCAGCAGCAGCAGGCTCAAGCCAGGGCTGCTCTGCATTCGCTCACGGAAAGAACACTGCTGGATCGAGCCCCTCTTGGGATCCACCAGGCAGGGGAAAAAGTGTGACTTCTTTCCTCCCTTCGGATCCGATCGCCTTCCCGAGAACCCCCAGTTTCGTCTTAACTCCCCTCCTTCACGACAATCTGCAGGAAGTCACAGACCGAAGCTTCAGCGTCACCAACTGATCCTGAGCCAGACCCCGGGGAGACCAGTCAGCTGGTCGCGGAGCCCAAGATACTGAACCAGGAAACGTGCAGCTCCGCCAAAAAATAATAACAGTCGGCGGAGCTGCTGGTGGTGCCGAAGTCGCTGTTGCAGTGCTCGCATCCTCCGCATGCTAATGAAGCCGTGACGTCAGCAAGTCAGTCGAGGCATCTGGATGTCCCGTCCCCTCTGCCCAGCGCTGAGATTTATTTACATGTAAATTAGCATCGCCTTCCAAATCAATAATCCCCAAGCCAGGAAGAGGGGAAGAAAGCCTTTGCTGGATGCAAAGGCCCTAGCGACATAACCTCCAAAGGGTTACAAAAATATCACATAGGAGAAGAGAGGCTTTAAAGATACACGCCTTTTTTTTTCTTTTTTCTTTTTTCTTTTTAAAGGCTGCGCTCTTATGTGCCAGGGATCAGACCTGGGCACAGTTATAAACCTGAGCGCCTGTTTCAGATTATATGCTACACCAACCCAGGCGTGGAATCAGAGCTTTTTTTCTTCCCCTCTCCAAATGCCTCTACCTTCTTTTTCTTTCTTTTCTCTCTCCAACTTTCATTTCAGGGTATTTGCTGGCTTGGGACTATGTCAACCTTGAATTTTTTTTGCACCTCCGAGATAAAACACAAATGACTGCTTTCCTCATGTACTTGGGTGTTGAATTAGCCCCTCTGTCAACCCCTGACCCCAGCTCCAAGTGAGCATGAGAGATGACAAAGCATAAACCTGCCCAGGGGCTTCTGAGGACCCTCGGACCCTTAGAACACACTGCTTCCATCTCTCCATTTTACAGATTAGGAAACTGAGGTTCTGAGTGGAGAAGAGGCTTTTCCAAGGCCACACAGGGATTTCAGCAACGGTGGGCCAGAACTGACATTTCCTGGACCTCAGTCCATGGCTTTGTTAAAGATCGCTGGGTCTCCAATCTCCATCTTTCTGTACCAACAAAGAGGCCTATCCGAGCAATCAGGAAGAAAGAACTCTATAGTACTGGGTAGCCCTGGGTTTGAATCCTGGCTTTGTCGGCTGCTAGAGATGTGACCTTGGACAAGTCACTTTAACACTTGGGGTCTTCAGTTTCCTCATCTGTACCATCCCTTCATTCAATAAATACTTTCTGAGCACCTAACTCTGTGCCATGAGCTGTTCTAGGGACTGCGTATAGGTACAGTGTTTGCTCTGAGCTTTAGTGCAATAAAGTAAAAATACCGAGTGGAACTGCGGTAAGGATGGATACGATACCAGTAACAGTAAATAAGTTATTTCTGGTATTTTCGATGAAGTCAGAAAAATTCACTAAGGTTTTCCTTCCACTAGGATAGCCGTTGTATCTCTCCTCTGAGTGTTTCTGTGGTCATCTTTTATTGTTTAAAATCAATTGTTCTTTCAATGCTGCCTATGCAGTATGCTGAGCCAGGGGAGAGGCAAGAGCAAGCCAATTCTCTGGACTCTGTGCCTGTGATAAGGAAACGCTGTGGGGTCCTCAGGTGGAAGGTGACTGAAGAGCTGGAGAGGCTGGGAGAGAGGGGTATCCCGTCATGCACAGAAGTGTCCCCGAGGACAAAGCAGCCAGCACTGGCTCCTTGCCCACACTCCCCACTTCCCCGCCTGAAGAACCCACCCCATGAGCTCTGCCCTTCCGGCTAGAGCTCCTGAAGCTTCAAATGAGTTTCTTTGTTGGATGTGGGGAAGTTAAATTACGTCCTTTGTTATGCATAACTGTATTAATAATGCTTAATAACTTCTTTCAAACTGCTTCTCTCTGGTTCACAGAAGACCTTTCATGGTGAAAATCATGGGACCTGAAATAACTTTTTACTAATAGAAACTGAATACAAGCGAGTGAGTTATACTCTGCTATAGGTCTCCATCACATGGAACTCAGAGCACGTGGGGAAGCAGATGGTTCCCCCAGACCACAGTATCCTTCAATAAGGAGATTACCAAATATACCAGTTTAGGGCCACCAATAGCCAAATGAAAGCAGTGACACCCTACTCTGGTGTGGCCATAGACAAGTCACTTCAACTTTCTATGCCCCAGTTTCTTCATCTGAAGATGAGCCTCTCTGATGTACTTATCATTGGTGTGATCATACAAGAAGTACGAGAAGCAACTCACAAGTGACGGACAGGGAAGCAATGAAGAGGAAAGCAGAGCAGACAGTGAAAAGAGATTCATCTTCACCTGGAGTAGATCTGACACGTGACCATCCATTTCATTAAGAGGGGATGATATGACACGGGGTCTGGAATGGAGTGCCTGCGGTCAGACCTTGGCTCTGACATTTGCTAACCCTCTGACTGGGGGCCTGAGGTTCTTATCTACAACAGGAGGGACAATAATAGGGCCTACACTTGCAGGGCTGTTTTGAGGACCAAATGATCCTCAGTGTGAAGTCCTTAGCACTGAACCTAGCACACAGCGAATTTTAGCCATTGGTAGTGGAAGTGATGACCTTTTACTATTCACTTTGGCACTAACTAGATAAGGACTAAAGCTCAAAAGTCAGGAGGAATGGGTAAACAGAAGACTGCCAAATCTTCCCCATTCCTAGGGCATGACTCAAAAAGTTCACCTAATGTAGGTGAGCTGCTGACACACTTTTTCTCCATGAAGCAACACAGATACTTTTCAATGGCTATGAAACTGGGAAGCAAGAGAAATGACCAAGAAGCCTCAGGGGTCTCTCCTTCTGAATCTGCACAATAGAGCAAAACAACTGTGTTTCTGGGAAGCATGGGTCTTTCACCCATTCATTCATGTAACCATTCACTCATTAAATGAGCTCCTATGTGTCAGTCAGTGTGTTAGCCCTTAGGGACATCATGGTGACCAACAAAGACATGGGCCCTGCCTAAAAAAGCTTAGAAATGAGAGGGGAAGACAATTATGCAAGCAATTAGAGTGTGATGTATATTATGATAGGTGCACGTGCAGAGTTCTCAAAGGTCTGATTGCAGTCAGGAGGGGGATGGTGCAAAATCACTTCGCCAACGTCCTTTTGACAGCGTGTGCTCTGTGAGCGCAGCTTAGAGGTGGGGGGGGGGCTGGTGATCTGTGCACCACCTTTGCACAAGATGACTGAAATCACAAAATCCAGGGATCGACAGACAATTCCTTGTGACAATTATTTTCATCCTGGAGAATATTCTATTCCGGATTTTTGGAGAATACGCTGTTAGGAATTAGACAAGGTGAGGCAACAACTACTTTGGAAGTTTCAGAGATCTGGTAAATAGGGGCAAAGCTCGCCCTGTTTTTACACAAGAGAGTGAAATTGCACATTCATGACAGCAAACTTCTTGGTGGTGGGGGAAGGGAGAACAGGCTATGCCCCTGAGACCTTCAGAACCTTCTATTGATATAGCACAATACGATATTTATATAAATGACCATAATTGCATACAGTATATAGGAAGAGAGACAAGGAAGACAAGATTGGTTGAGGCTGCAGTGATCAGAAATCAGGAACTGAGTGTGATGTGAATCACGTTGAATGTCAAAAAAAATTTTGGGGGGGGGGATGAAAAAAACAAGGTTATGGGGGGGAGGCCTTACTAAGCATGACACTAAATCCAGAAGCCATAAATGAAAAGAGTGCTAAAAGTGCCGAGGTCAAATTCTAGCTGGTAGAGGGGGCGCTGCAGACAGGAGGAAGAGTACAAATATGAGAGAAACGTGTTAGCACAAGTGCAGAATTAACAAAACTCCTCTGCACGAGCACAAGATGGCAGAGCAGGACCAACAGGACACTGGCAGGTAATGACAAAGAGGCCGCTTCATACATGCGAGAAAATCAAATCACCTTTCCATTCCAGCCAGCATTAGTCAAAATCTTGTTAGAGGATTATGGGGAAAGGGTAATCGAATCACTGCTGGTTAGCTTACAGAAGAGAAAGGTAAGTGATGACAAGGACTGTGGCCTCCCAAATGAAGGGCTTTAATGAGGACGGTCATAATGAACAGTTTTTTTATCTCCATCTCCATAGGTGTAAAATAAGAAGGAAAGGATTTTCAATGAGCTAAAGAGGGATTTCACTTGGACCTAAGGAAGATGTTTGAATCCGGAGATGGTAAGAAATGGCCTGGGTCACTCAGAGCAGTGGCAGCATCTTTGCTCTTGGGAGCACTTTACAAAGAAAACGACAGCACCAGTCCTGGCTGGTTTACACTAGCACCTTCTGGCTCTGCTATTGTGAAATCGTAACTACTATATTACCAAAGTTTCAAACCACTTATCTAATAATAAAGGTCTTAAGTTCATTTAAGTTTATTTTATTTTAGAAAAAGGTAAGTATGTGTAATTAATATATACACACACACATATACTGTAAGTATGTATTTTATATTATATATATATTTTTAAAGGATATATTCTTTAACTTATAAACTTATGTTATAAATTATTATATAACTTATAAAACATATCATAAAACTTTATATTATGAACTTTTAGTATGTAATATATATTATTTTTAAAGAATATATTCTTTAAAACTTTATAGTATGTATGTGTGTATATATACATATATACATACATACACATGTATATACACACA